TGTTATGCACCCCCCCCCCCCAAAAAAAGGAATTATCAAATGATACTTGCAAAAATTCCCCCCCCCCTCCCGACTGTAATAATGCAAAAAAATATATTTCTATATACATAAGTACATATACATATTCCATTCACAATTGCGCAAATCTTTAAGAAAATTCTTTAAGAAAATATGCATGACGTCATCGATTTGGATGTTTGTTCTGGATCGCCGCTGTAGTGTGAAGAACTCCAATAAATAGGACGACGAGCACGAGCTTGCGCACCGGACGTAAACACGGGGAAAAAAAACAAACAAAAAAAAAAAACACACAATGGAAGAAAACAGACTGTTGCAAATGGACTTGCACGATTTCCGGGAATGGGAAAGACTTTGAAAAGCTTCCATGGAAATTCAGGAGGAATTGACAAGATTTTTTTTTAGGATGGGTTATCCGAGCGCTGAAATTCATTCCGCAATGGGCGATGCCATCGGGTTTCCTCTCGGCTTGCTGTGGATGAAACCATTTTTGGTGTGAATTGGGTATTGTTTAACAACAGTTGAAACGGATTCAACGGAACACCCCCTCCCCCCACTCCATCAATAGATGATGATTCAGTGACCGGTTTTGTCCGTCATACATCCAAAAATCGGCTACGTGAGCGCGGGTCCATTCTAATCCAGACTTGATCTGATTTCATAAAAGTACAGCGGTACCTTGGCTCCCAAATTTTACGAGTTTTTAAGAGTTACGAGCTGTCATTGGAATATTTCTTCCATGTGGAAAATTCAACTTCTGCGACGCCACAGCTCGGCAATTCAGGCCCTGCGATGCCCTCACAGGTGGGCAAGAGGAGCCATCGAATTTGCATGGAGGTCCGCTGATGGGATCGGTGCTTCCGTTTGAACTTTGCGTGAAATTCCCCTCAATTTCCACGGAAAGTTTCCAGTCTGGAAAATGTTGCCCCCGTTTAACTTCATTCAGCTAAAGTGTGCGGAAATTTGCTGGAAATGTTCCACCCCTTTCAAAGCCTACTTGTGAAACGAGACCTCCGTGTTTGGAATATACTGTACGAATGAAAAGAACAAAAAAACAAACAAACAAACAACAAAGTCCCAACGGGAGCTGCCGATCCGAAAAATGTTTTTTTGGCTCGCAGATCATTTCCCACTTTGCCCCTCCCACAATCTGTCTGCGTAACAAAAGCACATTCAAGAAGTACGCGGCGGCGGCGCCGAGCTTCAGGAGCCCACGATAATCTCCATGATGTGGTCCAGTTCGTTGAGGTCCGACCGGCAGCTGGCGCCGGGGCTGAGCGGCTGCGGCCCGTGGGAGGAGAGGCTCTCCAGCAGGTCGTAAGGTCCCATCTTGGGGGCGCTCTGCATGCCCGTCAGCACCGTGTCCAGCTCGTAGTAGGACGGGTCCACGTCCGAGAAGAGCTCCTCCAGCGCCGGGTCCGGCGGAGGCGGCGGCGGCGGCTGCTGCTTGATCTCAAAGGTGCCGAAAACCTGCTCCCCCGGCCTGGAATCCACCTCGGGGCGCTCGTCCACGTCCTCGCCCTCCGACTCCTCGCCGTCCTCGTCGCCGCCGTCCTCCTCCTCCTCCTCCTCCTGCTGCTGCTGCTCCTCCTCCCAGCAGGGGCCCATCCCGAAGGGGCCCGCCAGGTAGGACTGCGTGGGCAGGGCCTCCTT